AATCATAATAATAATAGTCAGCATTTATATAGTGCTTCCTATGTGCCAGGCACTGTACTAAGCACTTCACAAATATTATCTCATTTGATCCTCACACCAACCCTGGGAGGTAGGTACTAATATTATCCCCATTTTACAGATGAGGAAACTGAGGCAGACAGTGGTTAAGTGACTTGTCCAAGGTCTCAGTGTCAGAGGCTGGATTTGGACTTTGTTCTTCTTGACACCAGGTTAGTAGCCAGCCTGGGAACTCCATGGGTATCCCTACAATTTGGAGCAAGGCCCCTCACCCCAGCAGGTGGGCCTTTGGGAGCTGACCTCTAGGAGGACATGGGCAGGATTTCTACCAGATGGGCAGGTCCTCTGACTCTACATTCAGCATCCTTGCTGTTGTACCACACTGCCTCCTGGTTGAGCTTCCTTTTATTTTATATGATTTTCCTGGTTCTGCTTATCTTGCCCTGCTCAGTTCATTTTCCTGTGTTTCTCGAAATTCTTCCAAGGCCCTTTCTTACTATAGAATGATGCTTTATTATATTCCTGTATCTCAATTTGTTCAGTCATTTCTCTGGATTCTTTTCTTGAAGGGAGAAATCACAACGTCCTGTTATGAAGCTTGTGAATAATTTATCAGCCTTTGGCCTCTTTCATTTCTAAGTCCTGAACCATTGTCTTTAGTCATTTTCTATCATCTTTCCCCCTGTGCCCACCTTTTCATAGGAATCCCTGACTTCAAGGATGTTAACCTTCCTAGTGGTCTATCTGTTCCTCCTTCTTCTCTTCCTCCACACTGTCCAGTGGAATAACCACCTAGGCCAGGAGATGATGGCTTTGGGTGTTTTGACCATTGAGTGGCCCACAGATCCAACTACTCCATTTTCTTTGTGTACAGAGAGCCTGTGAGCTCTCCTTCCACTTTGCTGTGCCCTCTTTGTGTCTTTGGCTTCATTCAGGGTAAGACTGTTGAGAACAAGGGCACTCATATAACTCACTGATCAACTGAACAGAGACTTTATACTGGAAATGCTGAATGTCTAATGAATGTTTGTAGATGATCTAGACCTGATTTATAGGCTTCTGGCTCTGAAGCTGGAAGGGTCCTTAGAGGTCAGCTAGTCCAAACCCTCCTTTTAAAGATGAGAAAACCGAGGCCCCTCGAAGAGGTTATGTAACTTGCTCAAGGTTACACAACTAGTAAGTATCAGAAGCAGAATTTGAACCCTAGATCTCTGACTTCAGAGCCAGCATTCTTTCCATTGTCCTATGCTATTCTTAGCACACTCCTTCCCTTATTGTAGAAGTGGAAGAAAGTCATACAGGGCCATTAAAATTCATCACTGCTTGGCTAACCTTCTGGTGATTGGAACTGTTCCATACTTCATGGCTTGGTTGGTCCTTAGACAGTAGATGGAGTCATGAATAGGGCTTATATTCCATTAAATCCAGCAGGGTATAGTGGCTAGAGAGCTATCTTCAAAACTATGAAGATCTGAATTCAAATCCCACCTCTGACATACTGGCAGTGTGAATCTGGGCAAGTCATTTAATCCAGGTGCTCCCGGGGAACCATCTGACATCTTAGTTGAACTGCATCGGTAGGAGTTTCTTCATCTAAGAGTTATACTGGATATACTGGAGATAGATATATAGATATAGATATGTAGATGTAGATATAGATTTAGATATATAGGTGCAGATATAGATATAGATATACTGGTAAATGTTGAGCAAGCTTTCCAGAAAAATAAATATGCATGACACACTTTAAGATTAATCTGCTTTGTTGATATTTGTACATCACTATAAGCCGATCAAGAAAACAACAAAGCAAACCCTGATTTGTAGCTTTTGCTGATTTTTGAGGTATAAATGCTCATACTGAACATTTAACAATTGGCTCTTTAGCTGCCTTCGGCACACCCCTGGAGAATTCCCTGTCTCAAAAAAATCATAGATCTAGGGCCTAACTTTGTACTCCTGGCCTTTCTGGTTCAGTAGAACATACCTGGATTTGAGCTGTGCTGCACTTTACAATATTATTGTATAAATTATTCTCCTGGTTATACTCATTTTGTTCATCAGTTTTTAAAAGTCTTCAAATTTGTTCATTTTTATATTATTTGTTATAATATAAATTGTTCTTCTGATTCTGTTTACTTCACTCTCCATCAGTTCATATAAATTTTAAGATGTCTTTTTGAAACAATTTATTTCTTCATTTCTCATTGTACAATAGCATTCCATCACATTCATATACTGCAGCTTATTCAGTTATTCAATTGATGGTCATGGCCTTAGTTCTCAGTTTTCCTACCACTACAGAAAGAAGAACTCTTTTTTCCCCTTCATCTCTTTTTGCTATAGGCCTAGAAGTGGTATTATCTTGATCAAAGGGCATACCCTATTTAATGAAGTTATGTGTGTAATTCCAAACTGCTTTCCAGAATGGAATATGGTGGTACCCTTTCCTGGGTCTACAAACAGTACATCATAGTGGCTGTTTTCCCACAATTCCTCCAACATTAATCATTTTCCTTTTTAACTTTGCAACTCTGATGGGAGTGGGGCAGAATCTCAAAACTGCTTTAATTTGCATTTCTCTAGTGATTGGAGCATGTTTTTATATGGCTATAGATAGCCTGATTTCTTCCCTTGAGAACTACCTGCTCAAATCCTTCATTTATCAACTGGAAAACGGCTCTTATGAGTTTAAATAATTTTTTCATATATCTTGGAAATGAGACCTTTATCAGAGAAACTTGCTGCAAAAATTTATTTTCTATTCAATTGTTTCCTCTTTAATCTTATAACATTATTGAATTTGTATAAAAACTTTTAAATTTGTGTACTCAAAATCATTCCTTTTATTTTTTATGATTTGTTTTATCTCTTGTTTGGTCATGAACTTTTTTCCTATCCATAGACCTGACAGGTAATTTTTCCCTTGTTTTTCTAATTTGTTTATGATCTGACCTTTTATATATAGGTCATAGAGTTATTTGAAGCTTATCTAAGTATGAAGTGGGAGGTTTTGATCTCATTTCTTCCATATTCCTTTCCAACTTTCCCAGCTGTTTTGATCAAATAATGAGTCCTTATCCCAGTAGTTGGAATCTTTGTATTTACCAAATATTAAAGAACTGGATACATTTGTTTCTGTGCATTGTGAACCTAATACGTTCTACCAATTGATGATGCTGTAATTTTTAACCAGTACTATATTGTTTCAATAATTACTGCTATGTAGTATTGTTTGAGAGCTGGCACTTCTAGTGCCCTTTCATTCCCATTTCTTTTCATTATTTCTCTTGAGATTCTAGACTTCTTTTTTCCTTCATATGAATTATTTTAGTATTTTATCTAGCTCTATAAAGTAATCCTTAGGTTGATTAATTGGAATGGCTTTGAATAAGTAAATTAATTAGTATTTTTTAATTTTTTCATTTTTAAAACACTTTAAATACTATTTTTATTTTATTAGCTTGCCCTAGGAATATTTTTCCAGTTTTTAAAATGTCTTTATTTTAGCAAACATTTGTTTGTATTTGTAATTATATAGGTCTTGTGTATATCCTGAAAGGTAGACTTGCAAGTATTTTATACATTCTGTAGTAATCTTATCTGAAAATCTCTTTCTATCTCTTCTTGCAGTTTTAAATTAGTAGAAATGCTTATGATCTGTGTGGGCCTGTTTTATATCCTTCCAGTTTGCTCCACTTATTGTTTAAGTGAATTTTTGTTGACTCTTTAGGGTTTAATTACACCATCATATCATCTGCAAAAAGTAATGATTTCGTTTCTTTGTTACCTATGTTAACCTATGGTTATTCTCTCAGCTTTCTTTTCTTGTCTTCCTTACAATAGCCAGCATTTCTAGTATTATGTTAAATAATGGTGGTGACAATGGACAGGCACTCCTGTTTCACCCCTGAATTTACTGGAAAAGATTCTAGTTTCTCTCTTATATATAATGGTAGTTCTTGGTTTTATCACTTTTTAAGCATGTAATTGAGGAAACTAGTTTCTGATGATCTCTTTTATTTTCTCTTCAATTATTTTATTAGAATTTTCATTTTTTATATAATTTGGTCTTCTTTGTTTTGAATAAAATTTGTTGTTTATTTTATTAGCCTTACTCCCCAAAAATAAGCTTCTACTTTTATTGATCAATTTAATGGCCTTTTTGCTTCAATTTAAAAATTTTGATAATTTTGACTTTATTTTGGAGGTTTTGGTTTGTCATTCAAGTTCTCTTAATCATATGCCCATTTCATTGGTTTTTTCTACCCTCCTCCCTTTCAGTGAAAGAATTTAGAGATATATATTTTCCCCTCAGAATTGCTCTAGCTGTATCTGAGAAGTTCTTGTATGTTGTCTCATTATGGTAATTTCACTGATGAAATTTCTATTGCTTTACAATTTGTTCTTTGATCTACCATATCTTCAGAATTATGCTATTCATCTCTAATTATATTTTCATTCTTTAAGAGTCCTTACTGAATATAATTTTATTGCATTATGATTAGGAAATTATCTGTAGGAACATGCAGTTTTCAAAGGGAGAAATCCAAATTACACATAGCTAATTTTTAAAAATACCATAATTAAGAAATGCAAATCAAAGCAACTCTGAGGCTCCCCCTCATACCTATCAATTTTGTAAAGTTGACAGGAAGAGAAAATGACAGATATTGGAAGAGCTGTGAGAAAAATAGCACATTAATGTGCTGTCTGTTAGTGATTCTGTGAACTGGTCCAGGTATTGTGGAAAGCTATTTGAAAACTCCAGCTTGAAAGACTGTGACCCAGACCAAGATAAGGCCTATTCCCCAAAGAGATGAAAGAATGAGGAAAAGGAACCATATTTACAAAGATATTTACAGCAGCAATTTTTATTTTTGTAAAAAACTGGAAACGAAGGGGGCACATCAACTGAAGAATTGCTGAATGAATTATATATGATATATGAATATAATACAACACTATTATGCCATATGCAGGAAATGAAGTGGGAAGACTTGTATGAAGTGATGCAGAGTGTATTGAACAAAAGCAGAAGAGTATATATAACAACGACAATGGAAGACAAATAGCTTTGAAACACTTGTGAACTACAATCAAACCCAAACGTTCTTCCAGAGGATGGATGATGAAGAATGTTCCTCGGCTCCTGACAGACAGTTGATGGACTCAAGATGCAAAACAAGCAAATTTCTGGCCGTGGTCAATGTAGGAATTAATTTTGCTTGATGGTGCTTATTAAGGGTGCTAAGTTAAAGGTAGTTTTCTCTTTTTCTTTTAAATTTGATGATGATTGTGAGAGGCATAGAACATAAAGCCTGGTTAATTTTTAAAATAGATCAACTTAAAATATATCATTTTAAGGTTTTTGATTTAATGATAGTTTCCAGGAATTCTGAAAATTCTCAAATTCTCTCTCCTTTACTCATATTTCAGGTCAGTTCCTTTTTTTTCCCTCTGAGTTCAAAAAGAAGATTCTATATAAAACTGGGTATCTCCATTCCATGCCACTTACCTGTCATATTCTCAGAAATCACCACTGTCATTTCTTACATCAAAATAATACTCTATTAAATTAATACAGCACAACTGATTCAGCCATTCCCAAATTTTTTAAGATGTCTAAGGCACCCCATTAAATTCTAGTTCTTTGGTTATCTTTTGACCTCCCCCTCCATCAGGATCAGGAAGTCTGTTATACTTTTGACTATTTCCTTCCCAATATTTCTGCATACTATCCACCTTCAGTCTTCCCTACCTCTTCTCATTTCTATGTTGACTTTGATATGTTTCTACACTAAATCCATGTGTGTGTTCAATCATCCTTGGTCTATTTCAGGTAGAAGCTCTGAACTCCCACTCCATCCTCCATGTTTGATACTCTTCTTACAACAATTTCTAACCCCACCTCTGCCTCCTTTCTACACTAGCCTAGAAAGTAATGTACACTAGTATATACTTCCTTTTACCCTGCCATCTCTCTTCCCTCTTCAGACCTTTGGAGCAGAACTCATCCAATTCCAAGGCCTCTGTTTTTCTAATTTAACTCCCTCAGTTCCTTTTGAAGATTTTAAGATTCTGAAGGGACACTTCCCCCTACCCTGATTCAAAATGTTAGCACTACATAACCATACACACCCTACAGAATCGTTCAATGAAATTCGCCTTTCCCAGTTTTCCTTTACTCTTGTGTTTGTATTTAAGAGTTGCTACTTAGCTTTGACCTCTTCATCAGAGTTGCTTGACAATCCATTCAAGATCCATTCCATGTCTCTCTCCTGTTCCCAGGTCTCAGCTGCCCCCCACCACTGCACTATATGATACTCAGTTTTGTTTTTTTTTTTTTGTCTTTTTATTTTGTTCTTTTTTTGTTAATTTTAAAATATTTTACACTTAAATACAAAAATGAGAAAAGAAACAAAAATATAGCCATGCACACAGCGGACCACAAGAGAGGACTCAATATAAAACAATAAATTTCTATTTCAAGAAACCTATATAATACTACACATTATTTTCAAAGCTGCCCAGCTTTGCTTCCTTATCTAGGTATCTAGAGATTTATCTCTAGATCATGTATCCATTTTGACCTTATCTTGGTAAATAGTGTAAGATATTGGTCTATGCCCAATTTTAGCCTGTTTTTCAGCTTTCTCAACAATTTTTACTAAATAATGGATTCTTATCCCCAAAACTTACATCTGTACACTTGTCAAGCATCCTGTAACTTTTAGTTGCTGCTGGAGATTGTGTGTCTACTCTGTTTGACTGAACTACCTTTCCATTTCTGAGTACCAACTGGTTTTGATAATTACTGCCTTATAATATAGTTTAAGATCTGGTACTGCTATGCCACCTTCCTTTACATTTTTTCCAATATTTCCTTTGACATTCTTTTTATTTTGCTTTATTCTTTCTTGCTGTCTCATAGGAATCATTGATTTATATATGTTTTATGTAGTATTCAGGGAATACTGCATAATACTACCTGGTTTTGCTTTACCACATTGTCTTCTCAGCTGTTTATTCTCCTTCCAATTCCATCACTCTTGTTTTTGCCTTATATCTTTTAGTCTTTATGTTATAGTTCAGTAGTCCAAGCTACCACCGAATTCTCTTGCTACCTTGTACTCTCCTCATTGTACACAGAGAATACCTTGTACTCTTACCTAACCTCAATTCTGTTTCCCTCCCTCGACCCCTATCTGCTCCCAACGCTCCTCACCTGCTTGAAAACATCGAGGAACTCATGAAAAAATGTCAAATACGTTCACTACAAATTGAGGCAGTCTAGCCACCACTGTGCGAAAATGGTGCAGGCAATACTTTTATTCTTCCTGACGGGCCTTTTATTACATACTCTGCAGAAGTTATTCCAAACATTCTCCTGGTTTCAAACTTCCTCTTCTCCCTTTCAGCATAGATCATCTAATTTAAGAAAAAAAGAGGTGTGTGTTGGAACTTGGATGGTAAGGCTTTCATTCTGCCCTCCCTTTTCCTTACTTGGAATCTCGACACTCCCTCGAAATACTCTACAAGCAGTTTGACGCGTCATTACCTATCCATAGCTCCTTTATTTATCTGTGTTAGAGGAAACCCCATAACCTCAATGTTATCCCTAAGAAATAATATACTTTATGTTCAAGTCACATGTTAAATTTTGGCTTAAAACTAGCGTGGTATCTTTGGCACGTAACAGACATCCCCAGAAGACTTTCTTGAAAGTTACACCAAAAGTTGTCAACTAGTGATAAAAATCAGGATTAAAAAAAAAACCTAATACTTAGAAAAACCGGGGAGGCGACTGGGGCAGGATATTGTGAAATCGTTTTTTTCCACGAGATTTGAAAAGAGCAGAGTTGAATTTGCCCAGGGGAGCCGTTTCATAATCAGAAAGGGCTGCGGAGCTTGCGCGCTGGGACGGCGGGGGGGGAGAGGGGAGGGGGAGAGAGGAGGAGCTTAGGGATTAAGGGAAAAGTAAAAGTTGACAGGAAAAGTCGTGGAGCGAGTTTAGAGACGCAAGCCTCCAAGTCTATGGGCCTGGGTGGGACGGTGCCGACGGTGCCCCTGATCCGGGTCCCTCCCTCCCCGCACCTCGATTTGTAGCCTGGGGGCCAAGTGGCGATTTGGAAGGAGACGTAGACAGTTAAGGGAAAACTAGGCAGGTGTGGGGAGGCTCCTAGGGTCGCTTGTCAAAGCCCCTTTGGGCGCGAGCGAGACAGCTCCTTTCCGAGAAAAGGTGGGTGGCTCTGAAAAGAGCCTTTGTTTCGGGGCGAAGGGGCGCGAGCGACTCCTGGGGCAGACCCCTTACTTAGAGCTGGTGTACTTGGTGACGGCCTTGGTGCCCTCGGACACGGCGTGCTTGGCCAGCCCCGGGCAGCAGCAGGCGCACGGCCGTCTGGATCTCCCGGGAAGTGATGGTGGAGCGTTTGTAGTGCGCCAGGCGGGAAGCCTCGCCGGCGATGCGCTCGAAGATGTCGTTGACGAAGGAGTTCATGATGCCCATAGCCTTGGAGGAGATGCCCGTGTCGGGTGGACCTGCTTCAGCACTTTGTAGACGTAGATGGAGTAGCTCTCCTTGCGGCTGCGCTTGCGCTTCTTGCCGTCTTTCTTCTGGGCCTTGGTCACGGCTTTCTTGGAGCCCTTTTTCGGGGCAGGGGCAGACTTGGCCGGCTCGGGCATGTCGGTAGCAGAGAAGGGGCTGAAAAGAAGAGAAGGAGCAACTGCGAGAAACGAACAACGAAGACTGCTGAGCCGGCCCCCGCTACTTATAGTGCTCATATGCAAATGAAGTCTCCGGCAACGCCAGGCTCCCATTGGTGGCTTCTCAGGGGTGTCGTCATAGGCGGAGAGGACGGCCATGTAAATAACGGAATCCGAGGCGAGGCTCCCCACTGGCCATTCGGACAAAGACAGCCTGTGAGCCAATCGGACGGCCCGGTTCCACACTCCCCGTGCAAGCTATAAAAGGCCCCGGTGCGGCGGGTCCGGGCACCAGTGTAGTTTCTCAGTCGGTGATTGACGCAGCTGTGTTGTACTCGCATCCGTCATGTCTGGCCGCGGAAAGCAGGGAGGCAAGGCTCGCGCCAAGGCGAAGTCCCGCTCGTCCCGTGCCGGGCTGCAGTTTCCCGTGGGCCGTGTGCACCGCCTGCTGCGCAAAGGCAACTACGCCGAGCGGGTCGGCGCCGGCGCCCCCGTTTACATGGCGGCAGTGCTGGAGTACCTGACGGCTGAAATCTTGGAGCTGGCGGGCAACGCGGCCAGGGACAACAAGAAGACGCGCATCATTCCCCGCCACCTCCAACTGGCCATCCGCAACGACGAGGAGCTCAACAAGCTGCTGGGCAAGGTGACCATCGCCCAGGGCGGCGTGCTGCCCAACATCCAGGCCGTTCTGTTGCCCAAGAAAACCGAGAGTCACCACAAGGCCAAGGGCAAGTAAGCGGCCTCGGAGCTCCTGGGGCCGAAAGGCTCATTCCCGAAACCAACGGCTCTTTTCAGAGCCACCCACCCTGTCAAAAGCAAAAGGGCTGTTGCCGAGTCCTAGTCCCAAACCCTATCCCTATGTCTATCCCAATCCGAACCCGAAGGCGGCGTGACTTGTTGCACACGTCCCGTCCCGTCCCGTCCCCCCGCTCCCAGCACGAACCGAAACCAACCATCCAACAAACCGAGTCAGATAGAAAGTAACTGCTAGGTTGGCGAGCTCGGGTTAACACCTGGATTTCGCTGTAGCCTCGCCCTGTAACTTCTCCCCTGCGTGTCCCAAGAGCTGTGGATAGCACCCAGTGCCGCTTCACCTCCGGTCAAAAGGTGGCAAAGTTTCTCTACCACCAAAGTACTTGGCGGAAGCGTGGGCCAGCTGCGGACTGGTGTCCGCGGGGCGGGGACCCACAAACGTCGGAAATCCATACGTGCCCGTAGCTCAAGCTTTCCCGCAGACAAGATAGCTTGGGAGCCAGGCTCCTGGCCAATCCACCGCTTAGGCGGGCTTTTCATTCGCTGTCCAGAACCCAGTACACGGTACGCGGTGGAACCCTGCTGGGAATGCGAGGGGAGGGATGGCTCCCGGAAGTAGTATTGCACAACTTTGGCACGGTTCTTGCAAGAGGGAGAAGGTCGAAATAAAAAAAGTCCCTCGTTCTTGCCCTCGTGGGAGTCCAGTCCAGTGCAGCGTTTTTGAGCGGGCGGCGCGGTGGGCGCTCTGAAAAGCTCGGAGAGCCGCTGCCCTGGAGAACCGCGGGAGGGCCTTGGCGCCGCGAGGGCCAAGGCAGTGGCCGGCAGCACAAAATTCCAGGGAACCGGTGGAAGGCTGGGGGATCGATTGGGCACCGACGTCACGTCACAGCACCGAAGGTTTTAGGTGGTTCCCCGCCCACACCCCACCCCTGCAGAACAGAGGGAGAGGGAGAGGGCGAGGAAGAAAGGGGGACGGAGAGAAAGGGAAGGGCCGAACAACTTTTTAAACAGGGTCATCAACAAGAGAATCCAGCACCGGGAGATCGATGAGGAGCCAAGACCTACCCAGCTAGCGATGGTTTTCCCAGGCGGGTGGAGTGAGGGTAGGGGTGAGGGTGAAGAGACCAGAAGAGTGGGGTGGGGTGAGGGTGAGGGTGAGGGTGAAGAGACCAGAAGAGCGGGTGGGGGGGTGGGGTGCGGGGAAGGGGGAAGGGGTGAGGGCAGGGCGGGGCGGCTGAGAGCTGGCAAACCGGAAAGCGCCTGGAACGCCCAATGGAAAGGCGCTATTGTTGGTTTGCGTCGCCAGCCAATGGAGGCTCAGCGCGGGACTTTCAAACTCCTTCAGCCCAATCAGGGTGCTTCTGCGTCTATAAAGGCTACCGGCTGGCGTGCAGTTGTCAGTTGTGTTCCAGCACAGGAGAAGCTCCGCTCTTCCTCGCTCGCAATGGCCCGTACCAAACAGACCGCCCGTAAGTCCACCGGTGGCAAGGCGCCCCGCAAGCAGCTGGCCACCAAGGCTGCCCGCAAGAGCGCCCCGGCCACTGGCGGCGTGAAGAAACCTCACCGCTACCGCCCTGGCACCGTGGCTCTTCGGGAGATCCGGCGCTACCAGAAGTCGACGGAGCTGCTGATCCGCAAGCTGCCGTTCCAGCGCCTGGTGCGGGAGATCGCTCAGGACTTCAAGACGGACCTGCGCTTCCAGAGCTCGGCCGTCATGGCTCTGCAGGAGGCTAGCGAGGCATACTTGGTGGGGCTGTTCGAAGACACGAACCTGTGCGCCATCCACGCCAAGAGAGTGACCATCATGCCCAAGGACATTCAGCTGGCCCGCCGCATCCGCGGTGAGAGGGCGTAAGGCGCTGCTTTCCCCTCGTGGAAGGTCCACACCCCAAAGGCTCTTTTCAGAGCCACCCACGTTCTCACGAGAGTAGCTGTGACCGCCCCGATTTCCCTTTGCTTGGTTTGGGATTTGACTTCCCCGTGCTCCTGGGTTCCATAGCCGTAGTGAGCATGTTTCCTTTCCCCCTGGCCCGGCCCAGGAGGAGCAGCAGTCAGTAGGGCGGGGGGACGCCCCGAGCCCATTCCCCTTCCCGAATAAGTATGGCTAATGGGACTACGGACTTGGAGGAGCAATAACTAACTTCCTTTCCCTTCTTCCCCCCCTGATGTTCCTCCTTCCAACAACCTCCCAGCCCCCATCCTCTAGGCATGGAGGACCAGCAACTGACCCTCTCTTTTAAAACGGTTCCTTTGTCGGGAAGTGGAGGGGGGTGTTTTTATTTATTTGAGTATGCCGTCAGACATGGCCATTTAGAAACACTATAGTGCTCTATAGATAGTGCCTTGGTGGTAACTAATTTTCCTATAGGGGACTTGTGTGTAGTAGTAGGCTCAGCTCTTTTTCTGAGGTGAGTGGGTGGCTCTGAAAAGAGCCTTTGGTGTGTGTCAAGTTTCGAGGGCTCGAGCTCTACTTCTTGGCTGCTGCCTTCTTGCTTTTGGCGGCTTTAGGCTTAGCCGCTTTAGGCTTGGTCACCTTCTTGGCCTTGGCCGCCTTGGGTTTAGCCGGGCTCTTAGCCACCTTCTTGGGCTTGGCCGCCTTGGCCTTCTTCGGGCTCTTGGCCGCTTTCTTGGCGGCCGCCGGCTTCTTGGCTTTCTTCGGGCTCTTCTTCACGCTCTTCTTGGCGCCCGCGGCCCCCGTCGCCTTCTTGGGCTTCTTGGAAGCGCCCGGCCTTCTTGGTCTTGGCCGACGCCGGCTTCTTGGCCTTAGCCTTCGTGTCGGCCGTCGGGGCCTTCTTGTTCAGCTTGAAGGAGCCCGAGGCGCCGGTGCCCTTAGTCTGCACCAGGGTGCCCTTGCTCACCAGGCTTTTGAGCCCCAGCTTGATGCGGCTGTGTTCTTGTCCACGTCGTAGCCTGCGGCCGCCAGCGCCTTCTTCAGGGCTGCCAGGGACACGCCATTGCGCTCCTTGGAGGCGCTCACGGCTTTCGTGATCAGCTCCGACACCGGCGGACCCGCGGCCTTGCGCCGCGCTCCCCCGGCGGCCGAAGCCCTCTTGCCCTTCTTCTTGGCCGGGGTCTTCTCTGCAGGGGCCGGGGCGGCGGGAGCGGCGGGTGCCGTCTCGGACATGGCAGCGAAGGGACGGTACAGCAGCGACAGCAAGAAGTCACTAGAGGACGCCGCGGACTCGCGAATAAGCGAGCTCCGCGCTGACCCACTTATATATAGGTAAGGGCTGCCCTGTGATTGGTGCGCCGTCCCAGCCCTCCTCGCCCGTAAGCAAGGAAAATGGCTCCGCTCACTTATCGGGCTCTGCTGGGTAGGAGCGCAAAAAGCAGAAAATGGAGAATGGGGAAGGGAGGGGCCACCCGGCGCGGGGGCGTGGGGGGGGGAGGGGAGAAGCAGAGACCCGGAGGGAGGGAGCCAGAGAGGGAAAATCCTGCAGGGGGAAACGCGGCTCGGGCAACCACCCCCAGGGAGTCCAGCCCGAAAGGGAGAAAAGACTGCTGACAAACTGAGGGGCTTTTTGCTTTGCTGCTTTGTTGGTTTGTTGTTGAGGGAGACGGTCGGCCCCTTCCTCAGAACCCAACCACTCCAACCAAGCCAACAGTTCCCGGGCTGGGTGCATTTTTTTAAGTTCACTAGTTAATAACTGAACCCAGCTGCTACGACCAATGCATGGTCCAGGAAACAGCCCAAGATTCCTCCGCGTTCTGAGCAGAATGAGCTCTGGCGCTGCCCGGGGGGTGGAGATTGGGGGGCGCAGCTGTTGCTAAGCTCGACTTATGTAGAAACTGTTGAGTGGGCACAGTAAAGTCCCCCATCAGCCCCAGAATTTCAGCAGACGTCGCAGGAGGAGCTCTAGTCTAGAGAAGCGGCTTTGGAAAAGTGGCCACTTTAAGTATAAATAAGATGAGCTCTGCGCAGATTTCTTTCCAACTTTGACTCCTGTGAAGTTCTGCGCAAAATGGGAGGAGACGAGGCTTCTGGAGGGCCTCCGTCTGGACAGCACTATGGCGGTGCGAGGGGAAGGGACGCACCGAACAGGGATCTCCGTGGTCGCTCCCCACAAAGCTGTAACTTCTAAAGTGGCCAAGTCTCTCTTCCTCCTTCCTCCTTCCTCCTTCCCTTTGGGCAATCGTTTCGTGGGGAAGGGGGAGGGCGTCGAAGGCTTGAGCAGGACCAGAAAGTCGGAACAGCAAAAGGCGCCAGGGTTAGGGAGATCGGTTAAGGGTATTCGGAGCAGCCCAGAAGAAACTCAAGGAGACTTACTTTCTTCAACTCCGTGGCGGCATCCCTAAACAGAGGTGCCTGAACGGATGAAGAGTGCTTTGAAGTCGCCCCCCCCCTTATGCCCCGCCCCATGGAATTGGAGCCTCACTTCCAACGCAATGTCCAGGGTGAATCACATACGCGGGGATCTGGTCGCCAGGGTCACAATTTACATGCACCATTTACAGGGACTATAAAAACGTGAATCCTTGACTCCCCATTTTCATGTATACGTGTTGGTTATGGAGATCATCGAGTAAGGAGGAGCACCAAACACATTAATCACGAGCGGGGGGGGGGGCAGGAAACACCGCATGGCCTGTTTGTTTAGCTTCTTCTTCTGAGCTGCCTGGTGCCAATAAAGGGGGAGAGATATGAAGCCTCATATAGGCACCCGCGAAGTCGGGAGGAGTATGAAATGTTCCACTCTGACGCGCCTGTTTTAAGCAGTTCTGAAGATCCTCATTAGTCTGCAACCCTTTATAGTAGGTAAGTGCCCTGGATCTCCATTCACGAGTACCACTCAGTAGGTTCCAGATAACCCTTTCGTTCTCAAAGCTTCAGAGCAAAGGAAATGGCAGAAACCTAATTTGTTCCCCAACCTGATTCATGGCTGAATGGCTCAGTTCCTGACACCAGCAACATCTGGAACGTAGGCCTGCTTCCTTCTCTAAAACAAATAGATCTTGTTTCTCTAAGTGATTTTTTTTAAACCGACCCCCCCCCAAAATGCACTGGACCCTTTGTTTTCGTGCATTAAAAATTCAAAAGCTGAAAAAAAAATAAAGATACATCACAATAGTTACAGCCTAGCATTCACTCTGTAAGTCGGGTGTGGGCTTCTTGAGGACAAGAATGGATGGGTGCATTCTGTGAGAGAGAGCCGAGGAGAGGGGGAGGAGAGATAAAGGGGACCTGCACATCTGCCTGTAGTGATGGGGACCACTAAGACCTGTGGGAGTAGGTATTTCTTCTCTTTGCCCAAGGCATCCCAGTCCCCCCCACCTCCCTCGGCCTCCTATTTTCCCTAAGTGGTACGAGGTGCTGAGACTTAGGGACTCCAGGGAAAGTCAAAATCAGAGGTTGGGAGCATGGGAGGAAAGACTCGTCCCACAGACCCTTCTTCCTCCCTTCATAAGAGCCACAGATGTACCTGCCTACTACCTCCAGCACTCTGGATCCTGCTCATCCTGCCTCCACTCCAATTTGTGGAGGAGCTGCCTCACTCTTGTACTCTTCCAAACAGGTCTGAGAAATAATTGGGCAAACTGGCTGAAATTATCTCCTAGGATCTCTCACCTTCCTCCCCCCAGATACTGCTGCCAGACTGCCGACCCCCACGGGCAAAGGTTAGAAGGGCCAGACTGGGGGTCACGTGGACTTCATCTCCTAGGGCCTCTTAGATTAAAGAGAACTGGGAGGGGATGGAGGGCTTCTAAAGACAGTCACTCCTACACCCTGGCAAAGCCCGAGCGACAAACTGGCAACTGTTGCAGCAACGATGTGCACAGCCTGGCTTTGTAACAAGTATGGCGCTGAACTCCTTTGCACAGGCACCATCCAAGGGGGCCAGGTGGGGACAGGAATAAGCAATGTCACATCCAAACATTCAAACTCACGTTGGCTTTTCCACCAACCAATCCAAAACTTCCCTACCCTCATCGTAACTAACCAGTGTTTTCCAGACCCGGCAAACGAAATCCTTTTAGATCTTTAAACCTTGTGTGTTTATGAAACACAATCCCTTTAAGATTGTGTGTGTGCATGTGTGTGTGCATGTCAGACAGAAAGGAAAACTATATTGCCTACATGCAAAGAGTTCAGGGTCCATGGTGGAGTGGGGAGAGGGGCAGGCCTGCCCAGCCCCCTCATGCCCCCAGAAAGTACCCCCCCGCCCCCCAACCCCCCCCCCCACACACACACAGCCTTTTCTCTCTGGCTGAAACCTTAGTAAGGTGTCCAGTCTCCTCATCCTGAATCCCCATTGCCCCACTGATGACTCCTTTGTCTCTCCCTGACCAGGTGCCAACTTACCAAGAGGGATCCCAGTGTGTGGTTCCAGTGCTGGGCCTGGAGCCAGGAGGTTCTGGGAAGCCATTCCACGGTAGCTGCTTACTAGCTGCGTGACCTTGGTCAAGTCTCTTGACCTCTTTTCCTCCCCTCTAAAATGAAGGGCTTCACTCCATGAGCTCTGAGGTCTCCTCCAGCTCTAAATCTATCCTTGCCCCTTCTTGTTATGACCCTGGTGGCCAAAGATTCATCTCAGCTCTGCTCTGGAGAAGACAACGGCTCCATAGACTGCAGAACTAGAGGAGAGACACTGCCCCAGAACACAAGACCTCCCTACACACAGGCTCAGGACTTGGTGCCCTGGAAAGAGCCCTCTGCATTCCTGCAGCCCTCTGGGGATCAGGCAACTGAGGTGAAGAGGACCACCTGGAAGCTGTAGAGGATCTGCAGGACAAGAGCAGCAGCAAGGCTCAGAGCCACAGGGAGACATTTGCCTTGGGAGTTCAGGCTGGTCACCTCTCTAGGGAGCCCAGTGTTTTCCCCCTTGCAGGGAAGACTGTCTGCACAAGCCCAGGGCAAGCCTGAGGCCCACTGGAAAAGAAAGAATCGTTGCCCTGACTGATGACAAATGGATCTGATTACACTTCCTTTACCTTCTGAGAGATAGGAGTTGGGGGTTGGGGGTTGGGGGACAGGGAGAGGGGCTCAGTTTCAACAGAGTCTCTTCTATAGTCCGTGTTTGTTTAGGCCATTCATAGGCTGATAGAGCATTAGCCCAGTACTGTCAGCAAGACCTGAGTTCAAATCTAGCCTCAGACACTCACTGGCTCTGTGACCCTGGACATGTCACTTAAACTTCACTATAAAATAAGGTCATTATACCTCTTAAGGTTTGTTTGTGTGTGTGTGTGTGTGTGTGTGTGTGTGAGAGAGAGAGAGAGAGAGAGAGAGAGAGAATTGGGTGTATTGCCACAGTGCTTGGCACTTGGTAGGTACTGGATAAATCCTCACTCCCTCATTCTCCAGCCCCCTGCCCCCAGCCTTTCCCATTTGCTTGCATGGTAATTGGGACTCTCTCTCCTTTTCTTGCATGTTTTATTATTCTTGTTGTTGTTGTTGTTGTTGTTTTTCTGGTGGAAGATACCAGAAACCACAACAAATTCTGACGTTCCTAAATGAATTCCTGGGGTAATGTCGTAGGACAAAAAAGAAAGCTTTTAGAGAGAAGCCCATTCCATCTTGGGATCACACTAATTATTTAATGTTGTTTTCATTTGACACCAGAGTCTTTTCCCTTTGGATGTCCCCCCACCCCGACCTGCAGCTGAACCTTCCCTTAGAACAAACATACGGATTGAAGCAAAACCAATGGACACTGAAAAGATAGCATGTGCCACATTCTACATCTATAGTTGCCTGGTCTCCACTGGCTGGACTGGGGTAGGATTGAAGGTTCATCATTTCTCCAGACCAGAAAGGTCATTAATACAATTCATCAGTTTTATGACCTTTTAGTCTTATTTAAGGTTGACACTATTTTATTTATTATGTAAGCCGTCAACTTGTTTTTTTGTAATTCCTTCTGTATTAATTCCTACAAGTCTTCTAGGGCTGCTCACAATTTCTTAATAGCCCTCATTTCTTGCATTATATACTTACATACACACACGTTTATATATAGGCACACACATACATATACGTGTATCTGTATGGTACACACACACTAAATATATACATATACATGCATATATACACATATACATACATTATATACATAAATTGCTTTTTCAGGTACGTACCCAATTTATTTCCCCCCCTTTTTTTTGCTACCACAAAGTGCAACTATGCGTATTTGGGCATATATTGGACGGGTCTAATGTGCTCTCTTTCAACCTTTGTAATTTTATATTATCCAATCATTGATTTTGTCTTTTATAATCTCTCTACCTTGTCTTGTCAAGGACTTCCCCACTCCCACCCACGTTGCTGCAAAGTACCTGTTGAAGTGACCTTTCATATAGATGTCAAGAATCCATTAGGGGCAGCCCAGTGATTCAGGTCCAAGATACTCTCTACTAAACCTCCTAAAGCATAGAATTATCCAAAAGTTGAATGGCTGCCTCAGAAAGTAATGAATTTCTCCTTCCCACACTGTTTCCCAGCATACTAGCTCAATGTCTTCAATCAAAGGCTTAATATTTGTTAGCTATATTAAAGAAATTGTCCTTGTTCACATAATACTTGGGCAAGGTGACCTACTTCTTCAGCTCTGTGATTCAATAATTTGGGGTTGAAGCTTTTAGAGATTAAATGACTTACTTGCAGATTAGTGAAGTATTCTAGCCTTATACTCTGATTTAAATTCCAAAGGTCTTTCCACTCTGTAGCACATTGCCTCCCTAACCACTGTGCTAGTCACTTTGGAAGATACAAAGAGGTACAAAGAACCATCCCTGCACTCCAACAGTTTGCTATCTAGATCAAAATATACTGTATGCACAAATCAGAATAATCATACTAGCACACATTTGTTGTTGTTGTTGTTGAATTGTTTCAGTCTGACTCTTTGTGGCCTCTTGTGGGGTTTTCTTGGCAAAGATATTGGAGTGCTTTGCCATTTCCTTCTCCAGATCATTTTACAAATGAGGAAACTAAGGCAAACAGGGTTAAGTGACTTGGCCAGGGTCATACAACTACTAAGTGTCTGAGTTCAGATTTTGAATTCAGGAAGAGGAGTCTTCCTGACTCCAGCCCAGTGGTCTATCCACTTCACTACCCATGACCTGATTTGGAGTGGAATAAAACCTTAGAAGTCATCCAATCTAGTTCCTTTATTTAACAAATGAGGAAAATTTTGAACAGAGGGAGTAATGTGACTTGTCCAAGGTCACACAATGACAGAGTCAGTATTAGAAGTCTGGTTCCTTCCAGTTGCATCTTTCTTTCCAGAGTACTCCAATGTCTCCTCCGGAGCTTCAAGTAAGTCACAGCCTGTTCTTGAAATCATTTTCTACTCTTCATACACACCCTTTGATCCAGTAATACTGGCCCTCCCAGCTATTTCATGAACAAGACACTATTTCTCACCTCCAGCAATTTTGCCTGGCCTTCTTACCTGAAATGCTCTCCTTCCTCCACTCTAGCTACTGACTTCCCTGACTTCCTTTATCCCAATTAAAATCCTGCCTTATGTAGGAAACCTTCCCCATTTCCTCTTAATTCCAATGCCTTCCCTCTGCTAATTATCTCCTAGTTATCTTGTATGTAGCTGGCTTTGTGCATATACATACAAATATATATATTTTTGCATGTTATTTTCTAGATTAGACTTTTTGGGGGGGGGGTGAGGCAATGGGGTTAAGTGACTTGTCCAGGGTCACACAGCTAGTGTCAACTGTCTGAGGCCAGATTTGAACTCAGGTCTTCCTGACTCCAGGGCTGGTGTTCTATCCATTGCACCATCTAGCTGCCCTCTCCATTAGATTTTAAACTCCTTAATGGCAGGGACTGGGTTTTGCCTTTTTGTATGCTCGGTACTTAGCACAAAGCCTGGAACACAATAGGCTCTTAACAAATATTGAATGATTGATTGTACCACTCACCTGGAACTGCAATTATCTATAAACACATGGATTGTTCCCTCCTTCGATATAAAGGCATTGAGGGCAGGGACCGCTTATATATCAATATATCTCCCTTACCAACTATCACATTGTTTTGAACATTGACCTTTAATATGGTTAATTATATACCTTTATAGCTGCCAGTACATAATATTGCTTCATATTAAGAACTCAAAAAAATGTTTATTGAATGAATAAATTAGCATTTGTAATAGGCCTTAAAGGAAGGATAGGATTCGGATTCAGTGAAACAGGTGTCAGGGCATTCCAGCTAGAGGAATGTAACCTCTTTGAAATCAAGTACTATTTCATTTTGTCTTCATATGCTCATTGCTTAGGATACTGTCTGGCTTATTGTTAGTAATCAATAAACGTTTGGTGATTGAAACAAAAAAAAAACATAGAGGCAGGAAACTATAAATAATATCCCAGAGTTAATGAGGAAACCAATTGAGCGAAGTAGTTATGGAATATGAGACAAAACTGGACCAGTAATTTCCACTAGATTGTGACTGACCTTGAAAACACCTGGTTAGACTTCATTCTGTAGGCAATGGAGAGTTATTGATTTTTGTATTTAAACCAGGGCACAAATCATTTTGTTTTTAAACCATTAGATCTGAGATAATCAAAAAGGTCAAAGAATTTAAGGTCATAAGAACCTTTAGAGATCTAATTCAACCTCACCTTTCCCCTCTCCCTGATAACACAAACATGTACATCCATATATACACACACAATAACATACACATATGCATACTATACATACTTAAGTTGTAGCAATGGTCCACTTTTCTTCTCTATTTTAATTTCTCAATCAGATATTTTATCTCCTGTATGGTATGTTATATTCCCTTTTGACCTAGGTAATTATTCTTTGCAAAACCTATTGCCTCATGACACCCCTACCTGACTTTTAAATATACCACCTAAAGTTCAATCCTTACTCTCTCCTGAATAGTCCAATATACACACTCTGCTCTTCCATTGATTCAATTATCATCTCCAAAATGCTGATTTTTATATCTACTTATCCAGGCCTAGAACTTCTCAACCTCCTGTCTCACATAATCCAGGATTATCTCTGACTGCCTATTCCATATACTAACTGAATATCTCTTAGATATCTTAAACTCTAAACACGTTAGCTTCCTCTCACAAAGTACTCTACTCTTCCTAACTTCTCTGTAGGCCTCATCACCACCTCAGTACCATCTCCTCAGTCATCCAGACTTATAAGGTGTCATTCTTGTCACCTCACTCTCTCTTACCCATTACATCCAGTATTTTCCCATATGTCTCCTTCTCTCCTTTGACATGGTCACCATGTCATCTTCCACCCAACTGTCAAGTTGATTTTCCTAAATCAAAGTTCTGACTGTGGTACTTCCCTGTTTCAATGAGAAGGGAATAAGTATTTATATAGTGCCAGGAACTATGCTAAGCATTTTTTATAAATATCTCACTTGA